GATTAGCGACCGAATATATTTTGAATCTATGTTTCATAATTTACGCGTTAGTTGTAATTCACAGTATTAAGTATTTACGGCAGTAGATTAAAACAAAATCATGAATATATTTTTAAGTCGTAGCCAGCATTTGACGATACTAAAGTATCAACAATTACACAGATGAGGACAATTTGATGGCAAGTTACGGGTGGGTTAGGAATCCATTTAAAAATACTTAAGGAACCAACTGCCGAAGAAGAAATCTTCATAGATTTCACATTCATGTGACGAAATTAAAAGGCAATTTTGTAATAAATCAATCTTTGAATTTTGAGCAGAGGTGGATGATAAATTTTTTCTGAACTGAAAACAAAAGCATTTCATATAATATTATCATTTTAAAAGCCTACCTTTATGAATCCAAATTTTCTGCGTTGGCTGCTTTGAAAACAAAATATAGATCTCAACTAAATATTGAAAAATAACTCATTCCATTTCTAATATTAAGCCTATCTTTGAAAATCTTTGCTCTGCAAACAAACTCAAGGAAGTCACTAATAATTATTAAACTTGCTCTTATTCTGTCTGAAGTACCCACTCTTCACACGTGTTTATTTTTTTAAAAAAAATAACACATTATTCTTGATATAATAGCTTAATTGTAAGGAGAGTAAAACCACGTGTATGACAATGTATACAAAATTGTAAAATGGTTTTTTGAAATAAATGCTCATAAAAAAAAGTTTTGAACAAACTGTAATTTTAAGCCTCACAGAATTAGCATTTAGAACTAATGTTAAATAATGAAAAAGAATGTAAAATTCCAATGAAGAATAATTGTGTTATTTGTAATATTTAAAGCGAGAAAACTTCAAAATGTGTTTTAGCCCGGGATCAGGTGTGCACTCGATACTAACGTTAATTGTCGCTCAGAATAACTGAGTCACCCAAATCCTTTTTTTTTAATTTTCTTTTCTTTTCACGATAAAAATCACAATTTCAGTGAATAATTTAACTTAAGAGAAAATATACTTACCTATTTCAAGGACTTTTCAAATTTTCTTTGGTAATTTGAGAAAAATACATTAAAACTGAACTAAATTGTTTCAAATGTGCGTGACCTTAACAAAGGACACAAATCACAGACATTTTTCGCTTACATTTCAGAAATGTTATTTGCAAGCAATACTGTCATATTTCACGTTATTGTAGTTTTGTTGTCTTTTGATGATCGACAAATATCCTGTTGAACTTTTTGCTGCTTGTGTCTTTTTGACAGGGAGAAGTGTATCTTGCAGTATACTTATGGTTATCTTTTTCTAGATGGAGTTCTTTAAGTGGCTATTGAAAATTTTCTTTCCGTTTCACGTTCATTACTTTTCTCAAATTTACTTTCACTATCATGATTAATATGCATTATTTCAGCAAGTTTTTCCCTTGCTGGATCACTTTCAACTTCCTTCAATAGGCATCAAAGATACCCATTTCTTTATTTATATTTTGCTCATTTACATTTACAAAATCATAATAAATCGTACAACACAACAATCAAAACCACAAAGTGATTCATAAGGGAAAGTGCAGCATGTTCATAGAAAATATTTTTGAACAAAAGTGGTCACACCGCGAACACGGTCAAAACAAGTACCTTAAGATTGTAAAAAAAAGTTTGCCACTCCTACAAAAAGAGGGTGAAATGGGATAAATTCATTTTATTTCCCATTAAGACTGAAATATTGGAGAATATTCTGTCAAGATAACATTTGTTCCATTGGTAACAAATAAACATTTCCCCCAGAGTTAACGATTTCGTGAGCATGGGATGACTCTGCGCATCGCGCGATCGATCCCGTGTTTTAAGTGTATTCCAAATAAAACATGGATATTAGTTCAAAAAAAGAATTGCCGAAAACTATTTTCGTTATGCATTATAGGTTTCAGAATACACATAAAAATAATTCTTGGGCAAATAATCCTTCAAACTGCTCAATATGCTTATCCATATATCATAAAACTCTTTTACATTGGGAAATGCACAGCAAAAATATATCACTCACTACTTCCCTATAAAAAGGAACGGAAATAACCATATCAGTAAGTTCGGTCAGCAAAAAAATGTATTTTAGGGGTTAAAATAAACGTAATAAAAAAATCTCTCATCGTGGGTTTACAGCAAAGCAAACAAAATACTTTTTTATAATTTGGTTATAGGATCAAAGATAGCTAATGAGCATTAAAGTAGAATCTTTCATTTTTGCTGATGTAATATCGCCAGATGATATATGTATGAATTATATCTGTGTAAATCTGTATTTTTTTATTATGCCAGAAATTATTTATATTTACTTCATTCCAGTAATCTAATTTTTTAACCTTTTATTTTCGATATGCTCCGCCCCCTTCGCAGGATTATCGCGTTCCTAGAGGGGGCGCGCCCCACAGTTTGAGAAACGCTGCTTTACTAAATAATGCTGAAAAAGAAGTTATCTGTATTGCGAACCTTTACTCGTGTTGTTGTGAGGGTTGGTGGAATGATGAGCCATCTCTAAAAATCAACAAGCTTTTTATGTTATTACTTTTAATTAATATCAACTTTCGTTATAGATAATGGGAAGTAAGTCAGATTTAACCTGTTCTAAATATTTTTGACGGAAGATACTGATAATTTAATGCAAATATTTGGCTCCATTCCTTCAACTCTAACAAGTTTCTTAATACTTTTTTAGAACATACTAACAATTCAAATATAAATTATGATTTATTCTAACGTCAACACGTCTAATTGATATGTTCTTCCTCGCACTTGACTCAAAGTCCTCCCAGTGGAATGGTGTGGAATTTTGAAGATATAGCTAGCTCAGTTATCGTCCTTTTTACCTCTCCTCCTGTCACCCAGCCAGTATGATGGCTATGGCCCTCGGCTTGTAAACGAGTGGATTCGGGTTCGAACCCCGAGTAAGACATGGTTGTATATTCTTCGGGAAAGAAGTCGGTATTTCACCTGTAATGGAATCTCGTCTCGAATGGAAAGCAGCGCACCCCTTCTTGTTATATGCTGGGATTATTATCTGTAATAAATGTGTATATTCTTCTGTTGTATTGTATGCTTTCTATTCTTTACTTGTACTTAATAAGTTCCCAAGATAAAAAACACAAGTCAACAACAACCTTTCCTTCTCCCTGTACTCAATTTGTTCAACTTTACATCACTGGTGTAGCTATATTTGAGTGGGTCTAGTATCAAAACTCCTTCGGTGCCGTTTTTTTTAGTTATGGGAACCGTGTTAGTGGGAAAGTAGTTACACATGATGGTGCCCCTGTAGTTTGGGGACCCGTGTCATTGATATGGCTGATACGACGATAACTACACTCCTGTTTTACATAGCAATTCTACTTTGCATAATCACACGGTTCCTTTACAGAAAGAGGTTATCAAATCAAAGAATTTATCAAAATATTTCCCCTTGAGAATTAGTAGAAGGGTGTGAAGATAACCCGTTATGGTTACACAAAAAACGCAACATATTTGAGTAAAGAGAGCCATTCTTTACAAAAAATAATTAAAAAAAAACTGAAAACAAAACATATATTTGATCAGTGTATGGTGGATCTATCCGCGATCCTTCAACTAATCCTCTTGGGAAATCTTCGGGCTATCCATTCACGTTATTCACAACCAACCCTTCGAAAGAAGTAAATCGTTATATTCTAATTAACTTAGTATATATAGTCAAAATTTTCTAGCTAGAATACGGAGTAGGAGAGGAAATAAGCCTGAAACCAGTGAAGAATTAAGAGATTTATTAAGAGGAAGTTTTAAAGTGATGAGATTGTTCACTAGGATTAAATTGATACTAGTGCAAATCGGATGATAGATTAGATCCGATATAAGGTAAGGAACGAGTCTGATAGTCTCTAATCGTTTACGTTTCCGTTGTTGTTCCACTTTTGTGGTTAGCACCGAGACATTCTCTTACTAATATTAAATGAATTTGTGTCGTTTCATTGCGTGATAAATAAATAGATTGATTGTATCATGGAGAATGTTTCTTCCCAACTCCCACATATATAGGCGCCTAAGAGAGATGTGTGGTAACCTCATCAAAGTGTTCTGGTTATTTTGTTACTTTTTCGAAACCTGAGAATCGAAACATAAAGTATTTCTTTTCCTTAAGTAAAAGTGTAATTAGAAATGTAGTTATTATGATTTGTGTTAAATTTTAATTATAAAAATACTCATCTCTCCCGAAATATTTTCTTACAAATTCTTCGTCTTCAGCAGACAGGGTCAAAAAAATGTTTCTTCTTTATAGATCATAATAACCATTCCCTAAATGCCATGCTCTTTATCTCGAACTTCTTAAAGGCTTTGTGTTGATTTAAGTAATGAGACTTTAAAGACGCACCTGACATGAAAGAACTCCACCGTATTTTAATGGGAAAGAAAGTGCAATGAAATCTCTCTTTTAGAATTTTTCTTTTGTCTCAACCTTAATGAGAAAGACAGCAAATTGCTCCTGAAGCGCTTTTTGAAAAGAACTCAATTATTTTCTATCACCGTAAAGGGTCGCACTCCTATGGTTCAAGCGATGCGCTTTATAAGGATATATATATATATATATATATATATATATATATATATATATATATATATATATATATAAGTAATATATATATATATATATATATATATAAGTAATATATATATATATATATATATATATATATAAAGTAATATAAAAAAATTTTTTTAGCCAATTCTTTCCTAGGTCAACATAGAAAAAATTTTATTTTAGTTACTTTTTTAAATAGTTACAATTAATATATATATATACATATGACAGAATCACAATCTTAAGTGGCAAAATAGAAAATGATTTTCCTTTCAATTTTCCATTTTTCTTTCTTTATAGGGTGTTGGACTATTGTTTCTGTTTGCTACTATTTATTAATCAATTAAATTTAATTATTTCAATAAAATAGTATAGTAAAAGAAATCACATTCTCAGAAATTAGGCCATCTCAGGTGCATTTGGAACCCACGATCTTTGAATTAGAAGTCCAACGCGCTATCCATCGCGCTACAGGCTCAACGAGCGATTTCCTTTTCTATATAGGGTGTTGGACATTTATTTCTGTTTGTTACTATTTATTCATTAATTAATGAATAATTAATATTGGAAAAAACTGCATTAACGTTAAGTGTCATGCACTACAAGTTTAAAAAAAATCATTTGAACTTGAGTGGATGAATAAAAAAATATTTTTTTAACGATTCAAAATTTGAACAAGACTATATATATATATATATATATATATATATATATAGTCCAGTCACATTAATGTGACCATCTGTCAAAAGGCAGAATAACCACCTTTCGCAAAACGGACTGCTGAGAGACGTGCAGGAAGAGAGTCACTTAGGTCCCTGAAGGTGTTCTCTGGGATGTTGAGCCATGCCGACTCTAATGCCGTGGCCAGCTGCGCTAGATTACGCGGTTGAGGATCCATGGCGCGAACAACTCGATCGAGATGGTCTCACAGATGCTCGATTAGGTTTAAGTCAGGTGAGTTTGCTGGCCAGGGGAGGATGGGAAACTCATCCTGGTGCTCTTCGAACCACACACGTACACTGGCAGCTGTATCGCACCTCGCATTGTCCTGCTGGAAGATGGCATCATCCTGAGGAAAAACAATGCGCATGTAGGGGTGGACATGGTCCGCAAGGACAGATGCGTACTTGTATTGATCCATCGTGCCTTCCACAATGATCAGTGAACCCAGAGAATGCCAGGAAAACATTACCCAGACCATAATGCTCCCGCCTCCAGCTTGGACCATTCCGGCAATGATTGCAAGGTGGTTCCTTTCAGAGGTTTCACGCCTTATACGCCAACGTCCATCTGTCCGATGGAGCATAAAACGCGATTCATCTGAAAACGCTACTTGTCGCCACTCAGTGGACGTCCAGCTGCTGTACTGGCGTGCAAATTCTAGCCTTCGTAGTCGATGAACAGTAGTCAGCATAGATGCACGAACCAGGCGTCTGCTTCGGAGGCCCAGACGCAGCAATGTTCGCTGAATAGTAGTTTGGGAGACACTTTTGATAGCCCCTTGGTTCATTTTGGGGGTCAGTTGCTCAACGGTAGCCCGTCTATCTGCCCTAACGCATCTCCGCAACCGTCGTTCGCCTCTGTCATCTATGGCCCGTGGGGCACTACATTTGCCACGTCCCTGATTTTGAACAGTCCCATTTTGCCATGCACGGTACACTTTTACCACGGCGGCATGCGAACAGTTCACAAACTCAGCCGTTTCGGAAATGCTTCCACCCTTGGCCCGAAAACCCATGATCATGCCCTTTTGGACGTCGGATAAATCGCTTCATTTCTGCATTACGCCAATGATTGAAATGTTTTCCGAAGCCCTCACCCCCCCTTTATATACGCTCAACTGCACTGTGTTGCCACCTGCCTTCTGTGATTGGTTATTTAACTCTGACGTGGAAAGTACGTGGTGGTCACATTAATGTGACTGGACTGTATATATATATATATATACAGTGGTGGACAAAATTATGGACACTTTTTTAAATTCTTATGTTTTTTATGTTTGTATGCTTATAGAAAATTTTATGTTGCACAAACTGCTCAGTATTTTATATCATTTTAAAGTAAATTTAATACAAAATTCAATACAAAAAAAGGGAATTCAAATATTTACAATGCAAAGATAGTTATGCTGCAATAGCTGCCGATATACAATGGATACTGATAATAGCAGGGTGTTATCAGAGCTTTGTGAGATTACCTTTATTCTTTATTACTGCTCTACATCGATGTTTCATTGAGCTGAAAATAATTTTAAGCTCTTCTTTAGCTATTACATGATTCCAGGAAACAATTATATTCTTAATTAGTTCCTTTTTATTTCATAGGTACCTCATTCGGACAAAAGTATTCAAACGAGGCCCACAAAATTACTGCAAATTACGAAGGGAAAACTTTGTTTTTTTAAAATAAATATGCAAACATAAATCTGTATCAGGAATCCAAAAATTAACGTTCCAAATTTTTGTCAAGAAAAATCATTAAATAAAAGTTTTTCGAATATTTTCTTTTTACAAGATAAATATCGAATATGTGTGCTCGGCCGTGTATAAGGCGAGAATATTTGAAGCTTTTGTTTAAGATTTAAGGGATCTAAAAAAAGCGTAGTTAAGAAAAAAATTTGGGTTTTTTTACACATTTTCTTTTAGCAACAACGCTGAAGTGATTTGAATCTCTTGACGTTTATCTTGTTTTGAGTTAAACTGTTTTGATAAAGATAAAAATAAGAGATTTCCAACCAATGTATAGCAATGCATATTAGGATCGTAAATACCAGCTCTGTTTTAATGTGTAAGACGTTTTTTTTTTACTTTTAGTTTTATGTTTAATTCTAAAATTCATAATTAAAGAATGCACTCTATTTTATATTTAATCCATTGTAAGGGCCGTGATAAATATACTTACCACCTATTGCATTAGTTTTTAAATATCTATAGTAAGCTATTTTATTATATTTCATTTGGGCTGTCATCCATTAATAACTTCAGAAAATTAAGAAACATTATAAACTCTTACACACTTCTTACCAACCCCTCCCCCACATATTAACAGGATTATAAATTTCTTCATTAATCTAGCAATTTCATGAAACATAATACTGTAATTATTCATTTATGAGTAAAAAAAAACTTTATATAACATACAATTCTTTTTCCAGTCTGTAGTATTTACAAAATATATTTTATAAGTATAAACAAACGAAAAATAAAAAGCATTAATTTCCTACTTTCTAATATTTTTGGTGATAAGTATAATTACCACCAAAAAAAGTGGCGTTGAAAATCAGATTAATTTTATCTAACAATCTAAATGAATTTATCTTAAATCAATCTCAATTCCACAAATATTCTAAAATACCTTTACTAGAAATAAATGACCCGTTAAGGGTTTAAATCCTGTCTGTAGCCAATTATTGTATAAATACAATTTAAGACTTCTGGGAAATAGAACATGGCGAAGAAGATAAAATTTAGTGTTCTATCGATCATATAAAGAATTTGACATTGTTAACTTCTTCAAAATACAACGAATTAAATAGACAGGTCACGTTATCAGAATGAACGAAGACCGCACCACTAAACAATTCTTTAATGCTCAACGAATTGGCACACGAAGAAAGGGCAGACCAAATCTCAGATGGATTGATGAGCTAGAAAAAGATCTCCTAGTTTCAAGAACTGGGAATTGGAGAACACTAGCAGGAAAATGGCTGGGCTGGAAAAGGCTTCTTGAGAAGGCCAAGGTCCACCCTGGACTCTCATGCCACCGAGGAAGGAAGAAATTTAAGACGCGCCAAAAAATTTTTTAAGTTTTAAAATTTAATAAAGAGGAAGAATAGATGATACAAAAGTGCGGTTTGCAACAAAAAGCTCACAGGAAAGTTTGATTTAATTTAGTGGCAAAAACATTTTCAGATAAAAACATCACTGGTAAGAGAGCGTTGACAATTTGAAACACAATGCACAGAACAAAAGTACGTTCCTTTAATTTATTCCATCAATAACAGCTGTTAAACATACCTCCAGAATATTGTTCGGACACAATTAAGGTGGCCATGCGAACTTTCAAACTCGTTCCAACACGCTGTCCTCACCAAAGGTACACACACTCAATAGCAATAGTTTTACTGGATTGGCTTACCTGTAGTGTGGACATGCGCCATTCTGCATGAACTTTATTACAGATAACACACATTTTTTATTTTATTTAACGCGGGTACGGCTAAAAATATTTTTTGCTGCTAAAAAGTTCCGACTTCTTTCTGAGCCTTTTTTGCAAACCACACACACAAACACACACATTTAAATCAATATATTCTTTTCTTAAAATAAATTTTTAAAGTTTTAACGGGATTTGAGCGCACCCAGTTTTAAACAATCTGTAATACTTCGATATTCATCCCAAGCCCGTGGTAATCTAGCCGGTGAACCCTAAAGCCAATGAAGACCCCAAGTGTAGAGGAGCTGTTGCCCGTATTAAAGCTGTCGAAGTTATCGCGGTTGCAAAGTATGCTAGACTCGAAAGAGGGGTGCTCCTTCAAATATTCTGCTTGCTTCGCTTGTGAGAGGCTTGGCGCTCTCTCGGGCACCTAGATAGGTGGCAGGTAGGGAAGAAACACTCGACATGATGCAACTTATCTATTTATTTATCACAAAAAGAACAGACACAATTTCAACTAATAGAGAATTTATAAATGCTAATCACGAAAGCGGAACAATGACGGTAACACATGAACGATTAGGTGACTTTCAACTTGATCCTTACCTTAATGAAGGGTCTAACTTTTCTTCTTTTTATATATATATATATATATATCATCCGATTTAATCTAATATCAATCTAGTCTCTTAGTGATCAATCGTCACTTTAAAACGCCTTTCTAAGGAATTCTTAATCACAATAATTCAAATATGATACTTTCAGTAGTAATCTCTTCTGATTCAAATATATCTCATCTCCTACTCTCTATTCAAGCTAGAAAACTTCGACTATATATAGTAAGTTCATTTAAATATCACGATTCTCTTCTTCCAAAAGTTTGGTTGTGAATAACGCGAATGGATAGCCCAAAGATTTCCCAAGAGGATTAATTAAAGGAATGCGTATAGATTCATCAAACACTGAGGTTCAAAATTACAAGGTTCATCGCGCCGATAGCAGTTGTGTTGCTTATTATAGGGAAACATTAATAAATAATACTTACTCGATATTTATTCCACAAAAAAAAAATATTTTAAAACTTTTAGTCTCCGTTTCATCATGTCCGGCTCTTAATCTCAATTTTCTTCATAAACTTAGAAAAGCCCTAGCAATAATTATCATTATCCATTCATAAATTCCTTCTTATCAAAAGCTAGGTTGAGGGACATATTTTTTCACATTTTATAATTAACCTCCACTAGCAGATAGCGACCGATAGATAAGAAAGTCAGATGAGTAGAGTAGATTAAATGAAATAATTTTTTTTGCATCACTTTTT